TTTTTTTTGTCCTGTTTGCAGTAGCATACATGATCATCAAACTACTACTAGAATGTTCACACCTGTTACTGCAAGTTTCAAGCCCAGGGGAGCTCCCCTAGCATTTGCTCTAGGTCAGGGTGGGGCTGTCTGGTACCAGGCTGTACCCACTGCTGGGCGGGTCCAGCCACACAGAAGCCGTTCCCCAGACCGAGCCTCAGCGTCTTTCATGGCACACGAAGAGGCTGATTCTCAGAAGCTGGCTGGGATTGAATCCAAGGACGAAGCCGCCATGGAAACATGAGGATGCAGGACAGTGGAAGGCCCTTAGATGAGTAGCAAGCCTTCTTTGTAGTGAAGGCGGGGCTTACCCTTGAAAGGTACTTCTGAGAGGACTGAGGACATGATTGACAGGTTGACCAGACATCCCGGGCATTGCTGCCCCTTTGCCTTCCATAAGGGACGCTGTGCCTCACCCCTAACTATGGAGAACGAACCCAAAACCCAAACCAAGCCTACTTTGGACTCATGGCGACCCTGTGTAGGATTTCCAGTGCTGTAAATCTGTACAGTCTTTGTCTCACTACTGACAGACAGACAGGTGGTCCCAACAAAACGGTTTCATTTTCTAATTTTTTATAAAGGAATTGAGATTTAGGACAGCAACGAAAAGTATCTGTTGTTTAATAGAATGGCTTGCACTGGTGATGAACTTGGTGCGGAATAGCTGGAGACAAAGCAAAAAGGCAAAGGGGAGACAGCCTGTTCTGAGAAGGGCCTGCGGGGGGCAGCAGCAGCACATCACCATCTGCCCGCACACACATTGGAGGCCCAGCGAGTGAGAGCACACCGCTTCCGGCCTGTAAGATTTCCCATCACAGGCTGCCGTGATGATAGCTATAGAAATTGGGAAAGCACGCTAGCTGTCAATATGACTGACAATATGACTGATCATTTCCCACCCCCTTCTTACGCTGTCAGAGCTGTGAGCTCATTTGCACCCATGGGTTGGGGCAGGAGACGGGCAATGAGCATGAAATCATCAATTCAGTGGCGAGTGAGCAGCGGGCCTTTTCAAAGGGGAAGGCACCCATCCGTTGAGATCAGATAGTTCATAAATAGCAACTTCTGACCGGGCAGTGAACTGAATGTGGGCTTTTTTGCACAGAAAGCAAGATTTGCTCTTTAGTTCCGAATGCTTTCAGAATGCTCCAGTAATTAGATTTTTGGTTGTCCTTTATAGACATTATTAAGGCACATTTGGTCGAGTGAAAACATGCACCCATTCATGTTTTATTCCACGACTAGTAGAAAGTGGACGCTTTGTGTGATGGCTTTATGCCTGAGAAAGAACTCATCAAGAGAAAAGCTCAGCCCGGCTGTCCATTCCGTTTTTGACAGAGGCCAGCCGAGTGGTCTGCCTGCCCACAGTGTGCTTGGAGGCCAAGTGTGACAGCCTTCCTTGGTCAGACAGAGATGCGTTGACCTGGACCTTGCCTTCTTTCTTGGTGGCCGAGCCCCGTAGATCTTTCAGCCTCAAAGCTTGGTTTCTTGATTGCCTGATTCTAAGGTGGGCGAGGGCCTGTGCTGACAAGGAAGTAAGATTGAGGAGTCCCCCACCCCTTCTTGGCACCATGTTCATGGATCACAGCTGTTGTGAGTTGCCACCAAGTCAGCGCCAACTCATGGCATCCTCACGACCTTCGGGACCCATCCCGGCCTGGTCCTGCGCCATCGTCATGGCCATGGGTCTGCTCGAGTTCATGGCTGGGGCCACCATGTACTTTGGATTCCTTCCTGAGTCGGGTGCTCCTCTTCCAGCCCTCTGTGGGGACTGTCTTCTGTTTGAATGATGGAATTTTCCTTGGCTAATTTTTGGAAGTAGACCACCAAGTCTTTCTTCTGTCTTAATCTAGAAACTGCTGAAATGTGTCCCCCATCCATGACTGTCCTGGTATTTGAAACACTGATGGCATCCGGCATCCGAGCACATTGCAGACCCC